CCCCCCCCCCCTCCACTTCCCCCCTCCCTCCAAAAATTTTTTGGTTACGGCCCTGATTGAGTTATCTGGGTTTGCATGTTTAGTTATTGAAAAAAAGCTAGAGCTGGGTTGATTTATGATGGGTTACCTGGTTTACTTGGATGACTTCGATTTGGATAAACAAAGATACTAAAAATTGCTCGAGCTGGGTGATCCTCTAATTTAACCCACCCCTGAAAAAATTATCTGGCTACGACCTTAATTAAAATTATCTTTACAAAAATTTTCATTGTAATGTTGTTAAGGGGAGTCATACACCAATTCACTCCTCTTTGTAATTTTTTTGATATAAACCACAGTTTAATGTCAATCTACATTTTCAACATAAAATTGACATCTTTGAGCCCTAAAAAATGTGAAAAAAATTGCAGAATAGGCCTTTGCATCTAAAAATAGCTCATTTTTGCTATTTTAGCCTTTTGGCACTATGCGCAAGGTTCAGATCAGAGTTTTTGAGGGGGGATATCCTGCTAGGTCTCAAAATCTTCAGAAAAGTATCCTTTATGGGCTGAGTTTTGTGGAATTTTGATTTAGATCTTCATATCAGTTCTATTATTCAATATGTCCTTAAAAACATTGATAACTTTTTTTATATCTTGCTTTTTTAACATCTGTTGGCATACAAACTTTTTTATAACTCTAATCAAAATTCCACAAAACTCAGCCCATAAAGGATACTTTTCTGAAGATTTTGAGACCTATCAGGATCTCCCACCTCAAAAACTCTGATCTGAACCTTGCGCATAGTGCCAAAAGGCTAAAATAGCAAAAATGAGCTATTTTTAGATGCAAAGGCCTATTCTGCAATTTTTTTCACATTTTTTAGGGCTCAAAGATGTCAATTTTATGTTGAAAATGTAAATTGACATTAAACTGTGGTTTATATCAAAAAAATTACAAAGAGGAGTGAATTGGTGTATGACTCCCCTTAAGTTAAAATGTACCGCGAACATAAGGAGGTATAAGGCATCGGTTTGTTGGTACCGACTAAAAATTTATCCCCATTTTCCTAGCTAGATTGCTCTGACTCAATCGTACCTCAATCAAGGCAACCATTTGAGCCTACTCAATTTTAGTTAAAGGAGGCATTTTGTTACTTACATAAATTTGTTACTTAAATAAACACTATGAAAAGCTAATTTTGATTATAATGGTTTTTCACAATTGACCTTGTTGTGGGCCAAAACAATGCATAAAGTTACGTATGCATTTAGTGGGTAATTTTCATTTTACCTGCATGTTCTATTGAAATCCGAAAAATATCTTCAAAACGGTCTGATGAATCTAGGATGATGTACATTTCACTAGGATAAAATAATTACTGTAGTCCATGTACACTATAAGGCGATTGAATCTGCAACAACCTCCAAACGTAAACACAGCGAAGTCGGACTGCCTGTGTGTATAACATAAGCGTCAATAATAATAATAGTATACGGACCAGCATAGGCAGAGGCCCCGAATTCGCTGTGTTTGGAGGTTGTTGCAAATTCAATCGCCTTATTGAATGATTGATTAATGATTGGTAATTTAACATTAACTGAAACTTAAGTTCAACTTTGGCGGGGATAGAAGCATGTGAAAATGAACGGAATTTTAATGAAAATTTTTGTTGAGATAATTTGATTGTGGAGTGTATATTATAATATTCTTATTAAATTTGAGTTATTCTTACTAGATGCTAAAGCAGCATTTAACATATTCTTGTTATTGATTGCATGAGACCATTTGACTAAAGTCAAATTATTTTTTACGTCTGGGAAAAGTTCTTGAACGGTTACAGACATTGATGAATCTAGAATGATAATAAATAATAATTATAAATATTTTTAATCTTATTTATAGTATTTAATTTCTGAAAAGCATTTAAAATATAATATTCTTTATTCTTGTAAATAAAAACGAAAAATAAATGATGAACTTGTGTTAATGCGCCTGCTCCGTTTAGTTTTGGAGTCAAGCTTATATTGCTAGCTTATACAGATATGTACTATGCGCTTGCGCTATTCCTGGAGAAACTTCAAAGTCGTCACGCTGATGCTGACCTTCTGGCCTTGGATGTAAAAATATAACAAGGCGAAGCAATGGGAACGCTGAAAGTACTTCGTAAAATACCTCCCTGAACTTTGACCTAACATATTTCATCTTCATTCAAATTCATTATGCGCTCTCTCTCTTTTTCACGCTTCAAAATGTGCAATAGAATTTAGGTCGTGACATTGGTAGACTCATTTTCGTTTTATTGTACGAATAAACCCTCGCGCTGATAAGGCAATTTGGCCCAGTTGTAACGAAATTAAATAGAGTAAATAAAATAGAGTAAATAATAAAATTGACGCAGATAATTTTCCCATCATAAACTGAATGCAAAACTAAACTGAACATCAAAACATTCCTCACCTAAGACTATTGATACTTTTAATGTAAAATTAAATTTTATAATTGTAAAGCAAAAACCAACATTTTTTCGCAAAACTTAAAAATTAAAAGACTTGTGGTAGAAAATTTGTGATACCTTTATTTGTGACCAATAAGCATAACAAGTTTTTACTAAGTTCTTGTATGTATTTATTACTTGAAGGATTTGTGGTAAAAAAAATTAATCTGTTTTAACTACGAAAAATCTTACGGTAGTGATCTTAAAAATAGTGAGAGCGATTATAAATCAAAACCAATTACTGAACACTTGAACAAATTTAACAAGACATTATATTGATTAATCTGAATTTTTTCTAAATGTGATCAAGAAATTTTTTGAAAAAATATTTGTACATAAGAATTTGTCTCTTAAATATTTTTGAAGCACTAATATTGTGACGGTATAGTTTAAACCGGAGTTGAAAAACGAAAATTAATAGGTCAAAGCCTATAAGTTCTTACATGGTGTTTCAACAGTAAAACACATTCAGTTCTTTAAAAAAAGGTTTGTGTTGCAGACTTGTGACGCTTTCATTCAAAAGTACATGCACAGAATATGAGGAGGTATTTATACTTAGATGTTTATAAATAAAAAAACTGATTTATGTACTAAGGTTTACATTGAAACTGCGATCAATCGTCCTCCTAGCTTTCCTTGATGCAGGAGCTTGTAACGGCTTGATAACTCTTCGTTCAAGGTCTCATGGATTTTTTACTTTTTTATAAATAATGTTTATGAGTGATAAAAAATTTGTTTAATCCTTGTAAAAAGTGTATCAACTAAAAGCTTGAAAATAACTAGTAGTAAAACCGTATTATTGTCACATTAGCAGAAAGTGTATTGTTCCGAAAAACCATATCAAAAATATTATCACGAGCTTTTCTTTTGATTAATTTATAATCCATAACTACCAATGTAAAATTAATAGCGTGATTTTTGGAGATTTATGATTTCATCAAGGGGTTACATAGTTTTGTGAGAAGAAAATTTGCTTTTTCAACTTATATTACAGAATCCAAAAGTTCTATATATTTCAAATTTTTACGCAATTAAATAAATATTTATAGAACACGATTATTCGTAGTTTTCGTTTTTTTTTCTTCAATAGGGCATGAAATTGGATGAAACTCGACCACAATGTTAATAAGTGTATTAGAAATGTACGCCCACTCGAGAATTGATGAATGACACTCTCAATTTTTCAGATTTTAACATAAATTGCTCGATATCCTGGTGTTACCGACTGAGTGTGTATAAAGGGCGAGTTCGAAGTAAGATAAATTACATACTAGTTTTGTAACCCGATTTTAGTGAAGAAAAACTCAACTCTTGCATGATTTACTTTCTTCACTCACCACTTGAGATGTACATTTTTTAATTCATTTTTGAATTAAGACTATCGTCGATCCCGATTGCAGTGTGCTGAATAAGATAATATGTCGTGTTTTTGGATATATAAATTAATCCAAAAGAAACTAAAACTATTATTTAAGTTTCAGAACATTTTCTAAATAACCTTACGTGTCCTAAGTGCTGCGTATTTAAAAAATAATTTTTTCTTTCCAAAATAACCTTGATAACACTATTCACATTTTAGGAATTATTTATCTATCCTTTAATAAAATGGGTTTCAAAATAAAGTATCATTGGAAGATAAACATTTACATCCAAAATAACTCAATGATATGTATCCACCTTCATGAAATTTTTTCAAATAACTATGTTTGTCAAAGCTCTGTCATTTATGTGAATGGAATTATTTAATGTACAATAAATTGTTAAATTTACCAAGAATTACCAAAATTATTCAATTAATCCAATGTATTTAGTCAAAATCCAGTGTAGTTACTTACAAGGAGAGCTTTTCAGGTGCGGGTCATGGATTTGCTCCAAAATTTTTTTGCAGTCTCCTGGTACCCAATACTGAAGCTCCCTGTGCTTAGTTTGATCCAATGGGCCTTAGGGCCCATTTCGTAGGGGATTTTCCATAATATAAAAAAATTTTTGTTATTTTTTATATCGAATTTTTTATATAGAAGTACTTGAACGAAAAAATGAGACGATCAAAAGTTTTAACATTTTTCAAAGAATCTGCTTGAATTTTTTCAGAATTTTTAGGACCATCTATCACTTAATTTAAGAGGCCCAAATTTGACGCTTTTTTTGGTAGATTTTAGGACTTCGTAAAAAGAGTGGTAGATGGTCCCAAAAATTCTGAAAAAATCCAAGTAGATTCCTTGAAAAATTTTAAAACTTTTGATCGTCCCATTTTTTCGTTCAAGTACTTCTATTTCGATATAGAAAATAACAACGATTTTTTTATAATGTGGAAAATTCTCTACAAAATGGGCCCTAAGGCTCATTGGATCAAACCAAGCACAGGGGACTCCAGTATTGGGTACCAGGAGACCGCAAAAAAATTTTGGAGCAAATCGATGACCCACACCTGAAAAGCTCTCCTTGTTAGTAGAAATTGATCAATCTAAAAAAATGTATAGAAAGTGCATAAAAATGAATTTTAATGTAACAGAGAAAAAATTAGTGTGACAGCAAATAGATTTACACCCCCACTTGAATGGCGAAAAGACTCTCGTCGAAATTGATTAATATCTCATTACTTTTATAAAATGCATTAAAAATGCATCAAAAAGACATCAAAATGCATTTTAATGAAAAGTTGAAAAATATAATGCGACGAGAATAATATTTACGCTCCCACACAAATTATAAAAAATATTTAATAAAATTGATATACTACTCATAACAAAATTGATAAACTACTCATAATTTCCAAAAAATGCATAGAAATTGCAAACTGGGTTATGCAATTGAGGTCATGAACCGAATCAGATCTTTGTCTAGCTACCCTTTTTAACTGCCTAAATTCTCACAGCGATCGATAAAGCAGTACTTAAGGTACCACGCCAAGAAAAACCCTTCGAAAATCATAGAAGTTCCAGCAGGAATGATTTCGCTTTGCTCAGCATAATTACATATTTGATTAGTTTTTGCGAATAAAACAAATTATAAATTTCGCTATTGTATTCCTGTATTACCGTGGTAGAATGCAAAAGATTTATGAAAAGATTTATAGAAACAAGAATAAACTAAAGACTGGCAGCATTAATGCTTTGAGAAGTGTCTCTCGTTCGAGTATTGATTTTCATTGTCGGGAAGACACGCGTATATAGATTTGCTTTTAATGATGAGTTATAAATATTATACGTATGAGCGTTTTTAAATATGAGTATAAGATCCCTTTTGATAAAATTATTTGTTATTTTAGAATGAAAGAATCTACAATAACGCGTCATTCGTTGGCTACTTTTAAAAAAGCTTTAAAAAATATAAATCTATTCTACGTTTGTTTTTTAGCATTTTTTCATTAGCCATCTAATATTTTAAATTTATCATTGATAATGTCGACATTAATTCTTTATGAAAAATTCTTGACGGTCACGGATTTCAACAAAGAAAAGTATTACTGTGCTAAATATCAACTCAATGTCAAGTCAAGAAAATCATCAACTAAATCTGGAGTGAATACATGAAAAATGATCCAGAAACAACTTTACTAGACTTTTTCTGTAAGATTTTCTGTGCGCTTTATTAAAAACTATAAAGGCAATGGTGCCAAATGGGAAGACAAGTACTTTCTTTCGAATTTCTAAATGCAACTCTGCACTCTTCGAACGTTGGTAAACGTCCGCCAAAACGTAAAATATTGGAAAAAACTGCTGAACATAGCATGAATGCATCGATAGAAAAAAAGCTAAAAATAAATTCTCCATACTATACCGAAGGTATGTGCGTTTATAACATGCTGATGGAACGAGATGGGGACGTTTGAAGTCAACGACAGCAACTGTAGGCTCGAGAGAAAAGAAAAGAAGCCCTAATTGTTCACGAGTATTTTCAATCGATCGGTTTTAAAGGTGACAGTATATATATGGGCTAAAACACGTCAAACAATATAAGTTAAACAATGAAATTTAATTTTAAAAAATGTATCATTTCCCTGGTAGAAACTTAAACCATAAGTTAACCAGTTTATGTCTTTGTTGACTCCCACTAGCCAGTTTATTAACCAGTTTATGTGTCTATTGACCGATAAAATGTGCTAAAAACGACATGATTTCAGTTACTTTAATGGCTGGAAACTGTGTAATGTTCGATGGTTTTTATGCTCGAAAACTGGTCAAAAACTGCTCAAGCATAGCAGCACTTGTCGCGCAACTTATCGACATGTAATTTTATTATATAAACATTTCATTATTTTATGTATGTTATAGGTATACTATTGTACTTTTAAATTTAAATACTTTTAAAGTAAAGTGCAGCAGAGAATTAGTACTAATCTGAGATGTAAAAACATC